ATATTGCACAGAGGTAGTGGCGCTTGCACATTAACAACAAATTGCACAAATAATCCTCGTTAATCAACTGTGAAGAAAGCTCTAGTCGGGAAAAAAGCTAGACTTTTTTTTAATATTTCACACACCAGAGGTGATCCAAACACTGTTCGGCTGTCAAATACTGAGCAAAACACAGAACTCTAAGCGACACCTGATCGCTAAGTCGACACGAGGTTCTGTAACGGCAGGAGGATGAAGCCTCGAGTTTTCAGGGGACCAACACAGATTCACTCCAAACAAGTTGCAGGACAGTTTTTAAAGCGCCTGGCCAAAGCTGCTGCTGCCTAAAGGAGAAAAAGAAAGGACAGGAGAGGACAGAGAGAAGAATGGGTCGGGATAAAAATAATACGAGAGTAACAGATAGAGGACAGGAGGGAGCAGAGGGGAGGAGGATGCATGTAGAATAGAGGGATGAAAGAGGAGGACCGCGGAGTGATAAAAATAGGGAAGGGCAGGAGATGAGAGGGATGAAAAGGAGGGAAGGCAGGGAGTACGAAGGAGGAGGAAACGAGGGGCAAGAGCAAGATGAAAGAGAAAATTTAAGAAAGTTCTTTTTTTTTTTTTTAAATTCCAACGCAGGGACCCGGGCGTCTGTTTCGCATCTAAAAAACAAAACGATGAATAGAGGACGAGGAGGAGAGGAGTAGCAGAGGGCAGAGGAGGAGGATGGAGAGGAGGAGGAGGAGGAGAAGGAGGAGGGCAGCTTTATGGCTGCTGTTATGCAGAAATGTAAACACTTTGCAACGTTCGCAGAAAACAATGACACCGCGGGGAGAGGAAGGTGTGCTCCTGCTGGATGATGCACGCGTGTGCTCGGCGTGTTGTGGCGTGTGCACGGCGTGTCGGGGCGCGTTGCGGCGGCGTGTGCACGTGCTCCTCCTGCGTGGGCGGCTGCAGCAACAGCACCACGGGGAGCGGAAGGAGAGCGACGGAGGTGAAATGAGAGGAACGGGGAGGGAGGGTCGACCCCGGCAGAAGTGGAGATGTGAGATTTCTATCGTGAGCGGATGCTGCGTAAAGGGAGATGCAACGCTTTCACTTTAAAATAAAAACACACTCGTCCGGCTTTGCTGATCATGATGAAAGCATGAAGCTGAAGCTGCTACCACAGAATACTTCATAGAAAATATACGACGACTATGGAAACTGGTTCATGTCACTAAGTCACCAGCATTATCAATCAACAGCCAATTAATGGATAACGAGAAATAAACACAGCGATATCAAAGTTTTAGTCACACGTGCTACCATGTGAGCTC